ATTGACAGAGAGTGTCTCTGACTCCCACCATTCATAATCGGAAACAAAAATTTGGACCACAACGTGTGATGCAGCGGCCGCTCGAAAACGATCAGCCGAGTGCAGCACCCGTGTGGGCAAGAGCTCGCGAAATTCCTCCAAGCAGCGGATAGTTCAGGGTTGTTTGGTGTCCAGTGTGTGAACACGCAAACAGATATTGACAGAGAGTGCCTCTGACTCCCACCATTCACAATCGGAAACAAAAATTTAGACCACAACGTGTGATGCAGCGGCCGCTCGAAAACGATCAGCCGAGTGCAGCACCCTTGTGGGCAAGAGCTCGCGAAATTCCTCCAAGCAGCGGATAGTTCAGGGTTGTTTGGTGTCCAGTGTTTGAACACGCAAACAGATGGTGACAGAGAGTGCCTCTGACTCCCACCATTCACAATCGGAAACAAAAATTTAGACCACAACGTGTGATGCAGCGGCCGCTCGAAAACGATCAGCCGAGTGCAGCACCCGTGTGGGCAAGAGCTCGCGAAATTCCTCCAAGCAGCGGATAGTTCAGGGTTGTTTGGTGTCCAGTGTGTGAACACGCAAACAGATGGTGACAGAGAGTGCCTCTGACTCCCACCATTCACAATCGGAAACAAAAATTTAGACCACAACGTGTGATGCAGCGGCCGCTCGAAAACGATCAGCCGAGTGCAGCACCCGTGTGGGCAAGAGCTCGCGAAATTCCTCCAAGCAGCGGATAGTTCAGGGTTGTTTGGTGTCCAGTGTATGAACACGCAAACAGATGGTGACAGAGAGTGCCTCTGACTCCCACCATTCACAATCGGAAACAAAAATTTGGACCACAACGTGTGATGCAGCGGCCGCTCGAAAACGATCAGCCGAGTGCAGCACCCGTGTGGGCAAGAGCTCGCGAAATTCCTCCAAGCAGCGGATAGTTCAGGGTTGTTTGGTGTCCAGTGTGTGAACACGCAAACAGATATTGACAGAGAGTGCCTCTGACTCCCACCATTCACAATCGGAAACAAAAATTTAGACCACAACGTGTGATGCAGCGGCCGCTCGAAAACGATCAGCCGAGTGCAGCACCCTCGTGGGCAAGAGCTCGCGAAATTCCTCCAAGCAGCGGATAGTTCAGGGTTGTTTGGTGTCCAGTGTTTGAACACGCAAACAGATATTGACAGAGAGTGCCTCTGACTCCCACCATTCACAATCGGAAACAAAAATTTAGACCACAACGTGTGATGCAGCAGCCGCTCGAAAACGATCAGCCGAGTGCAGCACCCTCGTGGGCAAGAGCTCGCGAAATTCCTCCAAGCAGCGGATAATTCAGGGTTGTTTGGTGTCCAGTGTGTGAACACGCAAACAGATATCGACAGAGAGTGCCTCTGACTCCCACCATTCACAATCGGAAACAAAAATTTAGACCACAACGTGTGATGCAGCGGCCGCTCGAAAACGATCAGCCGAGTGCAGCACCCTCGTGGGCAAGAGCTCGCGAAATTCCTCCAAGCAGCGGATAGTTCAGGGTTGTTTGGTGTCCAGTGTTTGAACACGCAAACAGATGGTGACAGAGAGTGTCTCTGACTCCCACCATTCACAATCGGAAACAAAAATTTAGACCACAACGTGTGATGCAGCGGCCGCTCGAAAACGATCAGCCGAGTGCAGCACCCTTGTGGGCAAGAGCTCGCGAAATTCCTCCAAGCAGCGGATAGTTCAGGGTTGTTTGGTGTCCAGTGTTTGAACACGCAAACAGATGGTGACAGAGAGTGCCTCTCACTCCCACCATTCACAATTGGAAACAAAAATTTGGACCACAACGTGTGATGCAGCGGCCGCTCGAAAGTGATCAGCCGAGTGCAGCACCCGTGTGGGCAAGAGCTCGCGAAAATCCTCCAAGCAGCGGATAATTCAGGGTTGTTTGGTGTCCAGTGTGTGAACACGCAAACAGATATTGACAGAGAGTGTCTCTGACTCCCACCATTCATAATTGGAAACAAAAATTTAGACCACTACAGGCGATGCAACGGTCGGTCTCGTTGGTGAGGGATGGGTGGCGCGACCGACACAGGGGGTGCTTGTGGTCTGCAGGGCTTTTGCAGACGGTCGAAGAGTGGGCATGGGTCGTATCTTCCCGGTGGGCACAGCTGTCATTCGGGGCACAATGTCCGGTCGGAAACAGTATTAGAGTCCTCGCCACACCGACAAGCGCCTGTCACGCGGTGTGTGCGCCTTCCTGTGTCCTCTGGGCATCCCTCCAGTACGTTGGTCCGACTGGAGTGAGGATGTCCACGTGCTAGGCATTGGCGCAGTTTTGCGGGAGGGATCGTGCCATGACGGTATCCGCGTCCGCTGTCACGTTGCGTGGGACTCCACAGTGTCATGGGGAAAATGTGAAGCCAGCTGTACGACCTCGATCCGCCTGTGAAAGTGGCACGGTA